GTTAAAAAGATTTTTAGATACTATTTTTTATATCTGTAGTATGTCATTTTATTACACATATAACCTGGTGATGGCTGTTTTATCAGAGTAGCCAAAAGTTAAAGTAAAAGAGGAAAATATCATGAGTTCTAATGAAGAAGTTAATCAAGATAATATTAATAAAAAGGATGAATCTGATCAATTCAGATCTAAAAACTCAGAAGAATATAAGCCTGGTGAGAATGAAGAAATTTCTGATAAAAGTACAAAAAAATTTGATGAAAATGTAGAAGAGTCTGACACTCATAAGGAAGATTCTATTCATAATCTTTTTTTTAGAGTCTTCATTAATGACTCATTGTCTTGTAATGCAAATGTCAAAAAGCCCTACTATTTAGCTGGGATTTACTCAGATGTTTGCATCGAATGTGGGTGCCTGAATGTTAATAGATCAGCAAAAGATGAGTGCTTATGTTGTAGTAACTATGACAGTAACTCTATCAATCCAAAGAAATCTTCAATAAAGGCTAAGAATAACAAAAACAAATGAAAGCACAAATGAAACCATTGAAACTTAGCTTTTCTTAAACAAAATATATTATTCTATTTTTTATTGTATTAAGTTTCTCAATTTTTTTTTTTCTATTTCCCCACTAACTATTGTAATTGTAATGTAGCAATATAATTAAATCAAATAAATAAAGATATTACTTTCTTTAATTTATCTAAATCAACTTCATTACATATAGTTTCTTTTTGTTTTTTTTTGATCTTTATTATATACCTTTAGCTATTCTTCTATTGAATTTATCTAAATTATTCATTATGGTTACCTTTTTTTTTGATCTTTATCACATACCTTCTGCTATTCTTTAATCTATTTTTTAACTCTAGTTTTTTTTTAGTTTAGGTTAGAACAAGAGGATGAAGAAAAGATAAATATTGGCAATTTACTTATACATTATTGTTACTTTTACTCTTAGACTGCCATGGTGAAATTGTTATATTAATATATATTTATCAGCTAAATCTACTATAGTAAAAATTATGTTTTATAAATATGCACTAGTATATAACCCATCGCTTTACTGATGGTTATGCATATATGCCTAAATTATTTTTGAGCTAAACTTTTTTATATTAATTTTGGCACTATATAAAACTAATTCCAGCTGCCTAAATGTCATAATTATTTTTTTTATTAGGATGGGCAATTTAGGTACTGTCACTGTTCACTAATTAGCTAAATAAATATGATAAGCATTTTCTATCACTAGATTAAGAATATGAACAAACAAATAGTATTATATGATGTACAATTTGATTTTTAACATGATGGTATTTATTTATGTCTTTCTGATAGTTGGTATTTTATATAAATTTAAAATTGATATGTAGATAAATTGCTTAGCATAGTTCAATGAGAGGACCTCTAAAATTATCTCAGGATATAAAACTTAATATGTAAAATGAACAAAGTAAAGTATTACTTATGTACTTGTTACTGTTATACATTCAAGATTATTATGATTTTGTTGCAAATAGTGAATTTCTATTAGCTAATTATAAAAAAAAAAAAATTTCTAAACTCCATTTTACTGATACAGGTAAGATATGAAAACTAAGTATATAAATTTGTATAGCCTTATTGTGAATTTTTTTTGATTATTTCAGTATATTATAAATTTTTTTTATTTTGAAAGTATTTCATATTAATCACAATTATTTCTAAAAATTTTCAGTATATAAAATCTTTTATAATATTTTGCTTATATTTTTTGCTGATGTATATTGAAATAATTGTTTTTATTTACTAATTTTTATTCTAATTCTTTACTGTTTATAAGTTTTAGTTCTACTTTTACTCTTTTATTTACTAATTTTAATATCATTAACTTTTCTAATTTTATTTATATTGTTATTTGACTATGTTCTGTATTATTTTTTAGTTTATTTACAATTATATATATTTTATAATACTTATATATTTATATTTGTATATGTCTGTTTGTTTATTTCTTCATATGCTTTATATTTAAAACAATCTGTAATTTTAGATTTATATTATTTCTTTAAAATTTTTATTTTTCAAAACTTATTTAGCAAGTTTGTTTCTTTTTTACTTGTTATTTAACTTATTTTTTTCTACTGCTTTATTTATTAAGTCTATTTTAAGAGTTCTTTCTTTTTATATAAAACTTTTAAGCATAGTTTTGATACTAGTTTTTCTGTTAGTCTTAATTTTGTTTCTATAAATTTTTGTATTTTGATAATTAGTAGAAAGAGTTATATTTGTTAAATACACTCTTATTCATTTACTTATTATATAATCTTCTAATTCTAATAATATTATTTTTATTTTTAATATTGATATAAATTTCTTTATTTTTAAAACTCTTTTAAAATTTTATTATATATATTTGTTTTTACTAATTAAACAATCTGAATTCTTTTATCATTTTCTATAGTTAATAATTATGATAATTAATTTAACTAATAACAAAAAATAAAAGAATACTATTACACTAGATGTTGTTAATTTATATAACAATAATAATATAGTTTAAAATAATATTTTAGTTATACATTTATATTTAATTAATATATTCATGTATTATTATTTTTCTTGATATTATATAAATAAAATAAATATATATATATATTCAGTATTATGTTAAATATATTAAATATGTATTGATAACCTTTTTTATATTACATATACTTTGTTATAAAAACTGAACTCAAGTCAACCATAGCTTAAAAAACAAATTAACTCGAATCAAGATTATGTTTTTTAAGCTATAAGTTGACTCAAATCCAGTCTCTACTTTGCTGATCTTTTTTTTCAAAAATAACAATATCATGATATTTAACTTTTCAAGACTGATTAATTTTTATATCATTCAATTTGTCTTGATAAAATACATCGAATGATACTATAAAATTGTTCGATTGTGATCAGTGTATTGCAAGATATCATCAAAAAAACAGGTATCAAAATACTTTCCACATCATAATACCCGACCTTCATATATGGGCTTGGTGCTAAGAAAAGAAACAAAATTGACAAAAAAAAAGTTTTGCGAAAAATCGATTTTTTTTATTTAAATTCTATAAGTTATATGAAAATAAAAAACTTTACTGCAAAATTTTATTAAGATAACAGCATTTGTTCCTTGAAGGAAAAATGGTTCTAAACTAATTTTGGATTTAGTTAAGCTCAAAGAAAAAAAAAAAGAATTTAAAAAAATGACAATTTCGTCCTTTTTTTAGCACCTAGCCCATATATATTATATATATCATGTTTTTTTATTAAACATTTATATATCGATATTACATAATTAAAAATAATCAAATAATTTATGCAGCACGCCTGATGCACACTAAAAAATAAATATATCGAATAACAGATGCATGTACTAAACTGCACTCCAAACGCCCTAAAAAATCGTCCGTAACTAAGATAGCCATCACCCGAAAACCATTGCTGGTAATGATTATGTAGATTAACGCTAACGTCAAGCAAAACCCGCTAAGTCTATTTAGTATAAATTTATTTGATTAACCTAATTAATCTAATTAAATTTAATAAGAGATATATATGTATAGATAAGCACACGTTTATTAGCGAAGAGAAAAGGTTATTAATGTACGTACGTACGTACATAAACGTTCGATTCCCAAATCAATGTAGAAATCACGCCTCCGAGTTACATTTGAAACGAGGGGAGTCTTATAGGCAAAAAAAAAAACATTATCATGTCAATAACATGTCATCTTAAGGTACGTACGTACATACCAATCGAGCAGTGAATAAAAAAATATTGACACAATACCTACATTGTACGTAAAGTGCATCAACAAACCTACCCTTATTTGCGTCTGTTTATGATTTTTTTTAATCATGTACGTATGTAGTATTTGAGTATTTGATACCCAGGATTAAAATACCAAAAATAGGACGTTTCTGCATGAAATCTGGGCTGCTAGGGCTAAGATCAGTATCCTTTTATATCAATATTATTATTACAAAGATGTAAATCTATCGATACAAAATAAAATTACCAATGGAACATACCGCAAGAGAATTAACGGGTTTTAATTATCAGAAAAATAAACACAAATCCTGCATCGAAAGTTACGCCATTATAGATTTTGGGATCCTTTCGCATGATACGACATAAGGAAAGATTTAGGTTATCACCGGTAAGAATTCACCACCGGATCGGGTAATTGTAGCTTATGCGTTAAAGTTTGTTCCGTATCATCTGTGCGGTACAAAATATGTGAAATTGAGATTGACAAGAGGAATTAGGTACGTAAAGGATTATGCACCCTTTCTCATCTGTCACGAGGTATAATCTATTGATAAGGCTCTCCCTGCTTGTTAAAATAGAATCCATGCAGAGTAATATTAGAGTAATATCGATAAAATCTACCTTTTATCTTAAAATCAATTTTTTTTAAAACGATGTTTATCGTACAATGTTTAATTTTCAATTTAATTTCTTATTTTGTTTATAGTCCAGTAGTCCTATTGTATATTTATTGTAATTATTGTGACGTGCTGATCATTATTCATTATATTTTAACAATAGCCACTTATTTTTTTTTGTTTGTTCTTTTTTGCTTGTGCTTCGTTTTGAAGCAACAACTAAAAGGAAGAACGAAATTTTTACACATACATTTGTCTTGAGCTTACTCTGTATTATCTGATAATATTAATTGCCACGAATTTTAGCAATTCCAATTAATCCTTTGTCCTTTGTAAGTATTCGTATTCACTCAAAGTAAAGGTGTGGGTGTGTCGCGTTGTTCATCTGCAAACGTTATTGCTTTGATAACTGCGGTGCTGGCTTGTGCATAAAAAGTACTGCATGTAGTATACACTACTCTTACCTTATTGGTTCTTTTAAAGTTGTTGTATTTCCTTCCAAGAAAACGCGTTCTCTGTATTCTTGCACTTATTTTCGACTTTTCAATTTTATTTCTTGTTTTTTTTAGACAATAAGCTATACGTAATGGCCGCCACTGTTCAATCTATGCCGAGTCTTTCGGAAGAAACCGAGATTGTTGAATACACCGAGGAGGTTCTTGAAGTTGTCAAGGTTGTTGAGGTGGAGGCTGTTAATGAAAAGGAAAAAAAAACCCTTACTGGCGTAACTTCTGACCATAATGAACTTGTTGATACTGAAAAGACCGCGGAAAAATCCGAGGATGTTAACGAACACGCGGAAAAGCACACTGAACATACCTTAGTTGACCATCCTGAAGAATATGATTCAAAATCTGGGGAATCGAATAAGGCGGATCCGAAAAGTTCGGACCATACAACTGATCCATTGACCCCTCCAAAAAGTCCTATAGATGAAAAAGAGAAATCGGATAAAAAGAATGCAAGTTCCAAAATAGCTACGTCTACTAACAAAACGGTCAAAACTGCTGCATCGGCCACTAAACCTAGTGCCGTTAAGAAAACTTCTACTGCAACTTCGACTAGTGCCAAACCTCGTGCACGCAGTCCGTCGGTCAGTAAGTCAAATTCCCCTACGGCTTCGAAATCTCCAGGAACACGTTCTTCTAGTACTTCCAGCGCTACGAGGGCCCCGGTTACAATTCCAAAACAACCGAGTAGTCCTACTGTAGCGAAAACTCCAAATACCTCGTCTAAGTCCGGTGCTAACGTGACCTCTGCAAAAACTGTCACTCAAAAAACTCCTGCTAAAACTTCTACCGCTGCTACTCCCGTTACCACTGCAAAAGCAGCTGTTACATCTCCGAAAGCGAATTTGGTGGCTCCTACTCGGAAAGCTTCCACAAATCCTAGTAGTTCTGTTACTACCACCGCACCAAAAAAATCACCAACCGCAGGTACTACCCCTCATGCTAAGGTAACTAATTCTTCAACACACGCTTCAAAGAATAAAATTGCACCATCTACGGCGCTCTCAGCCAAGCATGCTACATCTAAGAGTACTGGCTCAGCAGAAAACGATTTGAAAAGTGGTACTTCAGCAGATGATGGTTACAAACAAAAGGTTAGTTTGATGACTAATATATTTACGACCTTCGTTCATGTTTATACTAATTAATCATGTTATTATTAGAACGAAGAGCTCACGAGATTAATTGAAGAAAAAGATAAGATGTTGAAATCCCGCCAAGATGAATTGGAAGAACTTAAAGTTCAACTAGCGAAAAGAGATGAGATTGATGAATCTATTGAAAAACATGCTCACACTTTGGAAGAACTGAAAAAAGCTCATGAAGAAGAAACTCAAAAGATTCAAAAAGAAAAGGATGTGGCCATTTTATCAAAAGAAGCTGAGATAGAAGCTCTCAAAAAAGAAATTGAAGATTTGAAAAAGGTATGTTGTTATTTAATTCGATATTCTATTTGTATGACGTTTGAATTAAATGATTACACGCTTGTTAGGCTCTTGCAAAGGCCAAAGAAGAAAATGATGAAAAAATTTCAAACATTCGTGAAGAGCATGCTAAACTTATTGATCAGATTAAAGATACGCATGAAAAAGAGACTACTGAATTGTTTGAGAAGGTTAAAAGTGGTGAAAAAGCTGCTGAAGAACTTGTGGTTAGTATAAAGTGAGTGACTACCTATGTATTTGTACATATACATTATTCTCATGTTCTTTTTTTAAGTCTGTCAAAAGTCATCTTGAAGAGTTGGAACAAGCAAGAGAACAAATAAAAAATGAAGTCATGGTAAGCTTTTAATGACACGTATTAAAACTGCTTTATTAAGGTTGCAGGTCAAAATCATGACAAATAGAATCCTGGAAGGTTATAATACTGACATTCAAAATCCCTAAAACAGAATGTGATTCTGTCAGGATTTGACCTGTAACCCTTTATTTAACCTCCGATAGCTAATTCGTTTTCGGTTTTCTTAATGTAAGTCAACTCAAGGAGAGACTGCTGTTGCTTTCGAAAAAATTAAGGTGCAATATGCCGACGAAATTGCTGAACTCAAGGACTCTCATGCTAAGGAATTGGAACACTTGAAATCTGAACATGATAAAGAGGTTGAGAAAGCAAGAAATGATATTCAGGTATATAAGCCTATATGTTGAACATATCTTCTGCGTTAATTATTAAAAAAAATAAATTTTTTTTATATCAGGAAACTCTTATGATTCATCATAACGAAGAAATTGAAAAGCTTGAACAAACACATGATAAGGAATTAAATTCTATCAGGCTTAGTCTTGAAACCAAAAATGACGCAGCCATCCAAGAGCTCTCAGCTCTTAGATCTCAGCATTCTCAAGATATAGAGGATCTTAAATTAAAACACTCTAGAGAAATTGAAGAACTTAAATCCCATCATACCCAAGAAATTGAAACTTTAAAGGCATCAGCTGATGAAGGTCTTGTACAAAAGTATGAGTCTCAATTATCAAACTTGCAGAGTTTAGCACAAAAGAGGGATTCCGAATTAGAAGATCTCAAAGCAAACCATGATTCCATGCTAGAGAGGTTGAAAACCGATTATGAAGCTCGGTTCGAAACATTAAGGGTTGAAATTGAAGGATCCGAAAATTCCCCTGACACAGGAATTGAGGAGTTAAAAGCTATTCACGCTAGAGAAATTGATAATCTGAAATCTACCCATGTAAAGGCAATTGAAGAATTGAAAACTCAACATGAAGAACAATTGAAAAAATTAGAAGATCAACTTCTAGAGTCTCATAGCAAAGTTTTGCAAGAAACAATCACGAATCTTGAAAAAGAAATAAAAGAAAAGGAGGAAAGTTTAACGTTGGAAAATGAAACCCTTAAAAAAGAAAATAAGGAATTGTCAGAGAAGTTTGAAGTTTCAAAACAAAATGTTGACTCTCATGTTTCAACATTAGAAGTTAGTTATCGTAATAGTTTTTTTATTATCACTATACCAACGATGTTAATTTGCTTGTATTTATATGTTAATAAACGCTAATTATATTTTAAACAAATGATTATATTGTGCTTTCTAGGTGTTGAAAAAAGAGCATCAAAAGGAAATGGAACTACGTACCTCATTACAAGCTTCTCTGGATGAGAAAAATAACGAGAACGAAGAATCCTTTGAGTCACTACGCCGCGAGTATAATCAAAAGATTGATGAACTTGAATTAGCACATGCTCGTGAACTTAAAGAAAAGTTGGATGAACTCGAATTGTCACAGGCTCGTGAATTTAAAGAGAAGGTCGACGAACTCGAATTGGCACATGCTCGTGAACTTAAGGAAAAGACCGATGAACTCGAATTGGCTTATGCACGTAAACTTGAGGAAAAAGAGGTAGAAATAAAGAACAAGGCCATGGAAAATAAATGGCTCGAAGACGAAAATGATCAACATGATGTATGTATGATTTATGAAATTTAAGAACCGATTAACGTGAACCTTTAGTAAATGTCATTTTTCTTTACTATTTCTTAGGCAAAGGCTAAAACACTGAATAAAGACTTGGAACTTCTTCGTAAAGAAAACGTACAATTGAGAGATGAAAACAATCAGATGCTCGAGTTGATTCATAAATATCAAGAACAGCTAGCTCCTAAATTTTAAAATACGAAATATGTTTACTCATCAGATACAGCTACATACCATTCAAATTTAATCTCTTAATCCATCTTAGACTTTTATAACCATTTTTATTTGCTTTTTTGATACCTGTAGTATATTTACATTACTTATACTTTTCTATTACAATACTTTAAACTGTTATATTTTTTTTTATATCTCTTTATTTCCCTATTTCATCATCTTCTTAATTGAAGTAAGTTTGTTTATAATTTATATAATATTTATTTATTCACTAATTTTTTTATTTAGTAAGAATAATTGTTATTAGTGTTTGTTGACAAATTAGGATTTATTTGTAAAAGAAAAAAAAGGTGGAATTAAGTTTTTTGATCACTATCGAACTATGAATTTATTTATATAATCAAAATTCAATAAATATAAGGATTTGACATGTGAAGCGAGAGATGTTGTCGTTTTTTTTTTGTATGTATTACCAGCTTAGTCAATCGATTTATTAAAAAGTTACAGCAACCAACCAGGTTACATTATCTCCCGAAAAATTCGAAAAAAATAAACGAACGTCGTGGATAATTTCCGAAAGTCAAACAAAGATGATTGATCGACTTTGACTTAGCCAGTTAAGCCGATCTTTAAATGTCGACTTAGTCAAATCGATAAATAATGATCGACTAATTTTGAGATGTTATTGCTGTACTAACATATCTTATTTTTGGCTATGGAGTTCTACAGCTCTAATGAAACCTTCTATACAGTTTTTTATTTCATGATTAGTTTTCGTTTTTTAAAAAGTGCCCTAAACTGTATAAATAATGTTAAATTAATTTGAATTTTTAGCCAATCAGACAAACTTTTGCCTATGTGCTTCGCTCTTGAATCTTCAAAACCGTTAACAGATTGATGCCTTAAATATTTATCGTTGTAATTTTAGAAAAAGCTGAATTGGATATTATTCAGGCTTTAATTAGTTATGAGCTACTGCTAGAGATTGGACCCGGGTAGAAATTGTTGCTATATGATTACCCGAAATACATAATTTACCTGAATAATTCGGATAATTTAATAATACCCGAGTAGAGATTTTCTCAACGGGTCCAATCTCTAGTTTCTTGCTTGATTTTGAATTAATTCAAGTTTTAGATTATTTTAAAGATTAGATTTAGATTTAAAAAATTATTATTATTTTTTTAATATTAAGAGTAGGGGGCAGTATTTTAAAATTATATATAAACCTAATGGTAAATTTTTTTTATATTTAATTTTATGAAAAATTATATTAAGTAAACTACTTTTAATCATTAAGTAAAAGTTGTAGAGTAGGTCTTTCCGAGTTTAATGATAGTAAAATTATTAAAATAGGTTAAAAACTTATTGAAATATGAATTTTTAAAGATTAGGATATAAAATTATAGAATAAAATTAACTAATAGGTTTATATAAATTAACTAATCAAATTCATAGTTTTTGTACTACTTAAGGAAATATTTTTTTTTTTTTTTTTTTTTGGAGTTAAGGTGAGGTCATGCCTCAGGTCTGTTTATTCAAACATATTGTTACAGTT